TCGCAGAACTTGGTTGCTACAAATTTTGATTTATTGTGAGTTTATTTCCTGTAAGTTGTTTCCACAGTCTATATAAATCGATATAGAAGAATATATATACTTTGTGGGGTCTCTCATTCTTCCTGGGTGATGGGTGTAAAAACTGTCAAGCAAAGCCAAAAAAAATGCATTTGGTCGCTTTATTCGCAGACTATGCCAGACGAGAAATACTCGTTCAGTTCAAACTACACAATAAATTGAACCGGGTTCTCATTGCAAAAATCTTTAGGCAATTACAAAATTATTTTTTTTTTTGAATTTAAAAACTTAAAATATTACAGGGAGGCGAAGCCGACTTTAGAATAGTCTACACACCTTTACCGAATAGAAATCTTTCACCTATCTTTGCGGTAAAATATTGAGAAGATTATTTAGTTGCTGTATAAGTCGCTAGTTATCACGGGCAACTTTACATTGAAAAGGCTCCGATCAGTATATCTTTATTCTGTTAGCCTGCCACGCTAAGCTAACTTATTGCTGAACACTAGTTTGTTTCAATTTGCAGCATAATCCGTTCTTCCAGTTACTTCACATATCCGCTTGAATTTTAAATTTGAAAATTATTCAAAACTGAAGTGGAGCAAGACGTTATAGCTGCAAAGTTAGTGTAAAATATTAAAATTTATTAAAATTTTTCATTTTCGGGAGTTTTTAGTTTACTTTTTCAATTAGCAGAGTGATCTATATCATTCATACATATGTGTATCTGCCAATTGTTAGTTTTCAATCGTAGTGCAAGCAAGAAGCGACCAATGGTTGGGTAATACACTTTAACAAAAAATAGAAAATATATCTACTTTTACATTTGGCAACTCTGTGCGCGCAATTTTGCAATTAGTTTTTACTTAGTACTTAAAGTAATTGAATTATATTAACCTATTGCCGTGATATTCATTTTAGATTTTGTGATCAGGACAAGATCGCATCAATAAGTCTTTTTGCTTTTTTTTTTTTTTTTTTTTTGGTGTATACAATTTTCTCTTGGCTTACTGTGTCTTTAATAGTGTGAAGTGTGCATCTAATTTGATCTCATTTTTGTGTATGTAACAACCTTTTTTGTTGTGTTTTTTTTCAATCCCTATCTTGTCTGTTATTTTTTGCCATCGAGTTTTTTTTTTACTTCATGTCAAACAAAAACGGGCCCTGCTTCTGAACGAATCATATCTCTTGGCTTTGCGAAAGTTTTCGTCTGGCGAAATGTGCAGTCATTAATGTCCCTGCTGCAGATGCAGTCTTGGAACCTTCGAAGGGATTACGTTCGTCGTCCCGACAACAGTATTGGCTTTTATAAGCTTTTCACGGAGACAAGGGACGGGTTTTCTGAATTAGCCAAAAATCTCCTGAATGTGTGGAAAGTTCAAAAAAATCAAGACAATGTTCGATAAGTGTCCCTGTCTAGAGCACTCATCTTCTCCCCAGCCTGTAAAAGACCAACTCGTAGTGTGGTGCTTCATCTGCATCTTCGCCTAAATCTGATTCGTCTACTCATTTGAGTGCTCCGTCCTTGCCTATAAAGAACGTTAACATTTCCGCTATCGTAGAGTCGGCCTATTTAAAAAATAGGAAAAAAAAGCGTTTCAAAAAATTTATGAAAACCAGTTTTGCTTACGGCTATTTCGCTTATTCTGCAAGGTATAAATTTAATCACCAATGTTATACCAGTTTTGGTCATGCAAAGTGTGCCGGTATTCTCGGCCGTGCTGCTGACGCAGTCGCTGACCCTTCCAATGAACGTTAATGTTTCCGATATTGTTGATTGGGTTGGTAACAAAGTAGTTACAAACAAGCCGGCAAGTCCTTCCGTTTTAAGCTACGCTGAAGTGGCAAGGGTATCTCCGCCCAGGGTCGCCACTCACTCTAATCAAGCGCCATCCCCTGGCTGTTCGAATGTGAACGCTGGTCACCAGACTGGGTCAAACAAGCTGCTTGTGCAAGGGCGATAACGCCATCCATATTCTCCCCAATGCGTTAGCATTTTCAAAATGGCTCCTTCTCAATCTAGGGCAATCTCCTCTTTTAAAATACTAGTTCCGACTGAAAACAGTGATATGTTGTTTAACAAATCACTGTGGCCAGTAGGATCCTTAATTACGGAATTTATCCCTCGAGATCGTCCCCGTAATACCAAGGCAATAGTCTTGTCGCCTTCAAAAAACTAATTGTTTCTTCAGGCCCACTATCTCTCATTTATCAAAATGTTAGGGGCCTAAATTCGAAAATTCGTTCCACTTTTCTAAATTCAGTGAGCACGGAATTTTTCTGTTTGGCCTTTACTGAAACTTGGCTAAAACATGATCTACATTCGTCGTTACTTTTTCATAATTCTTTCCACGTGTTTAGAAATGATCGAGTAAATCGCATTGGTGGTGGTGTATTAATTGTCATATCTGCGTCAGTCCCGTCCAATTCAATAGAATTTCCTTCTCCTGACGTTGAATTTGTCGCCATTCATGCGATAATGCCTAATAAACAGCTATTTGTAACCTGATCCTATATTCCCCCAAATTCTGATATCAAGTCGTTTGGTGTAATAGTGATAATTTTGGCTGTTTGATTCCTACTTCAACGTCTGATAGGGCTGTTGTGTTCTTTAATGAATTGTTTGATCATAATTTGGTTCAATATAATCGTACCCCTAATTGTAATAGTAGACTGCTTCATCTCTGCTTTGCCAACTTTCCTGAGATTAACGTAAATCGTTGCCTACCTTTTAGTTTACCTGAGGATCCTTATCATCCATCAATGTGCATTTCCTTTCATCATAAGAATGCTGGTTCGTTGAATTGCCTTAATATGCAAATCAAACTTTTTTAAATTAATGTTATGATTTTCATAAAATCAATATTGTATTGCTAAAACATCGTCTTTCACATATGAGGCTTGATTTCTCAACCGGGGTATTGAATGCTTATTGTCATGGTTCTACAATACATTAAATCTAGCTATTGCTGCATCTGTTCCGATCAAGCAGTGTCGATCTCGAAGCAGGTGTCCCCCGTGGTTTAATAAGACAATCAAATATTCCAAGAATAGAAAAAAGACGCTATTCAAAAAATATTTGAAAAGTGGCTCCGCGCTCGACTATTTCGCTTACTAGGTGACGAGGCTTAGATTTAACTCCCTCAACCACCATTATTATTGCAGATACCTTCAGTTTATTAAATCCTCTCGGCTTGCGGATCTGCCATCTGTGGTTAAATCCAAACAGATCTAAATGTATGCTGATGATGTGAAACTGTTTTCTTCCTTCTCTCTAGAATCGCAATCACATCACCTTCAAAGTGACTTGAACAATTTGGTTGCATGGTGCTCGATGAATCTTCTGAAACTAAATCTAAATAAATGTAAGAAGCTTTCTTTCTTAAGAAGGAAGTAGTTCATTACTCAGCATTTCATTGATTCGCACAAGTTGGAGGACGTCGATTCGATCACAGATTTAGTCGTTCTATTTGACCATAGGTTACGTTTCAACTTGCATATTGAGCTCTCGATTAGCAAAGCTAGGTCCGCGCTTGGTTTTATAAAAAGGTGGTCCAAAAAGCTTGATGATCTTTACATTACGAAAAGGCTGTACATGTGTTTGGTTAGACCCATACTCGAGTGTGCCTCTGTTGTGTGATCTCATTCATATAGGTGCTATTTATATTCAATTGAATCTGCTCAAAGGCAATTCCCTCTGTTTACCCTTAGAAATTTGGGTTGGAATCCGATTGCCTCTCTTCCTCCCTATGAAAATAAGTTGCTTCTGCTGTCCTTACCGTCTCTTGAAGAACGTAGGTTTGTTCTTGGCGTTTCCTTTGTAATCAAAGTAATATATGGTGCTATTGACCCGCCTTTATTACTTGGTGAATAAGCTTTAATGTCCCTAACCGCTTCTGTAGGCACTTTATCTTGGTTAAGCTTAGTCAATGTAAATATAATTATGAGCTGTCTAATCCGCTCAGAGTAGTTTGCAAGAACCTAAATGACGTTTATCACTTATTCTCGTTATCGGACTCCTTAAAGTCCATTAAAGCAACATTGCTTAATGCACGTAATTTACCTATGTCGTACTTAAACTAGCTTTTATCCTTAAAAAGTCGTTACGATTGGAAAATGAATTGTTGTTAAGTATTATCGGCTGCCAGGCTTATGCATGTTTGCGATGGCTTAGGGATTAATTAGCAATTTGGTCCTGTATCGGTTGTAAGTGTGGCTCTATGCTGGTTGTGTACATGTTTTTTTTCTTTTTTTTTCCTTCTTATTTGTTTTATTGTACTTATACTAAGTTTTATTATTAATTTAATATAAGTTTTGCTTTAAGTGCCAATTGCACTCGACTGTTATTTGTTTAGTTGAGTTGCATGTATAAGCAGAATTAAAATAAATAAATAAATAAATAAATAAATAGATACCATCTGTTAATAAAATCCTCACAGCTTGTTAATCCTAAATATTTTCTTTGTTAACTCCAAAAGAAATAGCTTCCCATATCCGTCGCATGTATCCTTCACTGGCTTTGAGGCTTCTGTTGATATTGAAACCTCAAATCCCTTTGCTAACTTCCGGCGAAATATTTCAACTGGTAATTCCGAAAGTGTTTGAGAGGAAGAGTTTCTTGATTGTAATTGATTTCGTTCTTGGGCAATATATTTGTCTCTTTAACCCGTGCCAAGCAAAAACTGGTGCCAGTTGCGACAGTTATACATCGTGTTTGGTTGTGTGAGCGCTATGGTTATTTCAATTGCCCAGATTGCACTGGTAGGGCAGCGGATACTGTTGGCGATGCCTATAGTGGTCTTGCTCGAACTGTAGAAAAAAAGGGATTGATTTTTACAGGTTGTTTACATAGACGAAACTGGATTTTCTGGTGGTTAAGAAGTTATGAGAAGAGGTGATGGCCGAATTTAAAAAGCGCCTTCGGCTTCACCTCGAACATCCAAGAAATGTTCAACTCGCACTGTGCGGACGGTCTTTTACAGAGCCCTACGGTACAGTTCGGCAACCCCCACTTGGAGTCCGGTCTCTCCGCCTTGGAAGGGTCAGCCGGCGGTACGCGTATTGACCTGCTACCGATCGACTTAGTTGATTTAGCGTACTCCGATCCGATCGTATGTGACAAGGGTCAGGATTTATTAGATGATTATCCCTGCGTAAGGAAGAGGAGTTAATGGAAAGTTTGCTGAGGTAGTAAAGAGCTCAATAATAACTACTGCTGCAAGTTCTGGCGAATTGGGGCCCTCGACCGTGGCAGCATCGCTGGATGCATCAGCCAGCGTGACACCTTTAGCTGAGCCGGATGGTCCCCACAATGCTGATACTGCCTCTGTATCAGTGTAAGGGGCCAAGGAGCAGATGAAGGAGCAGACGAAAGACTGTGTGCCTACTGTAGAGGTGTCACCAAATACTTCGGGGGTGGACCGCCGCTGATTTGCATCCCCATCAATTGGAGGTGGTACCTCCAAGAAAATCTATTTTTATATCACAGAGTCTCCGTGGTCTTAGTACGAAACTATGCAATGTGTTTGTAAACGCTGACAATTCCGATTATCTGGTGGTAGCATATACAGAAACCTGTCTTAGGCCGGGGATATTTGACGGGAAGATTTTTTGGCTGGAAATTGATATATTTAGGTGTGACACACTGCACAATACTGGTGAGGGTGATTGCGGTTAATCGTAGGGGGGGAATATTTTGAAGTTTCTCTCATATAACCATTCCTGCGAAAATTAAATCTTTATGTCCTAAAAAGATACAATTTTCAATCTTTTTTGTTGAAAATTAGCTTATTAAGTTGATAAAAAAGTCAACCTTACCGAATTTCGATTACGTAGGTCTATGTTTTAGATCCCAACAAAGGCAGACGTTAAGTATAGAAAGGAAAAAGCATTAATTTTATTATTAAAACTTAAAAAAAAGATTTTTATTTTGCTTGCCGAAACGAAAAAACGCACGAAAGAATTAATCAGAAAAAATGCAATGAACAAGCAATAGTTGGTTATTATAAAAAACATTTATGTTTGTCTTTTTTTTATTTAAAATAACCTTAAATTACATTTTTTTCCTTTTTATTGATTTACACGATTTTTTATTGTAATAATTGATATTAATACACCTGAGCAAAAAAAAAATACTGAAATCGAATCAAGCATATACTCTTTTCCTCTTCTTCTGTTATTCAGCAAACTAACTACCGGAAATTCGCTGGGATGTGTGAAAAAGACCTGATGGGAACACAGAGTTCTACTTTTGAGGCTTAGTAGAGTTGGGGTTAGATTTGGTATTTGATGTTATTATTTATTGATTTTAGTGATTGTTTGAATAAAGTTTTTAGTTTTGTGTGTTATGCGTCCGCCATGTTATTTTTTTATAGTTTTTATTTAAAAACGCATATTAGTCGTTCGTCCGGAGGACAGAACAAAAGTGCGAAGAGTAAATTTCGATTTGTAAGATGTAATGTGGTATATGAGTATAAAAAGATATAGGGAGGAGTTGGTGCGTGTGAGAGCAAAAAAGTGCAAAAGGAAGTAGGTTTATAAATTAACTGTAAACGCTTATACGCTTGATAGCATGATTTAAAAAATGTAAAGATTGCGACGTAAACTGTTAAATTGCGAGAACGCAAGAATGTTAAACATATATTCTTTTTTTTCGTTTTTTTGTTTTTCTATAAGCTAATGGTATAATTGAAATTTTGTTTATCTTATAGGATTTATATTGCGTGTAGCAGCAAATATTTGCTTAAGGTACATAACTGAGCCACTCTTTGCCTTCATAGAAATTAGTTAGAATTTCAAGCATATATAATTAATGAAATAATGAAAATATTGAGAATCGTTAAACTTTTTTTTTCGTAACTTCATTTATGTAAAAACGTTTGTGAAAACCAAAAATAAAATTAAAATTTATTGCTTAAAAACAAAAACACAATAATGTGGGTGGTGGATGCTTAAGGTAATATATTAAAAGGGTTTTAAACAAGTTATCAGATAGTATAGTAATTAATTATAGTTTTTACAAATAAATGTTTAGTTTAGAACTTTATTCAATGAAAGCAAAAAAATATCCATAACCATAAAGAAAAGCAAATTTTCTTATAAGACACTTTAAAACCAGTGTTCTTACGATGATTCAAAGCGCTCCAACGACATATTGCGTTTTAAATTTTTTACGCAATAAAGCTGTAACTGTTGCAGGAATCGTGTGGAAGGTGACTCAGTCTTGTCGAAAATACACGCAGTTTATATCCATAACATCAATTTCAGGTCAAGTCAGTATAAACACACCTTTGGTAATTTCATCCGTACCATTCATTAAATAAAAAGATTGTAACGTTATGCTAATAATGGTCCACCATTGATTACCCTACGCGACTCTGCCTAATACAGTAATGACGATTGTTCAAAATAAGTTGGGACGTGCTCGAAGAAGTAGATCGACTGGAAACATTTTCGATGTTGTTTGTCATTGAGCCAAATCGTCTCAGTTTACCTAATTTTATTGAAATAACTTAAAAATTGCGAACTGTAGGTTCACACAACGCAAGAAAGTAAGACGAACAGGCAAGCTTACAATCGCTTTTTGAATCGATTAATAAAGAGAAAGGAAATTCATCTAGGCGTAGTGTACAATCGCTGAAAGTTTATATACCCTTGTGCGCCAAGTGGCTTAGGATATAAAAAATCAATCAATATAATAATGGTCGCATAAGCAGCATTTTTGGGAAAGTGTTGACGAAGCAAGCCGGTAGGTCAAAAACCTCCACAAACTCTTTCATCCTCTCGTTGTGGTTATAAAGCTAGTTCCATTGGTTGTCCTGGATTTTCGATACCTCTGATACAATAGGTTGGCGTGCTTACATAAGCAGATACATGAAAATGAATTGCATAAGCGGCTGTGCATCGCGCCATACTTGAAAATTTTTACTTGCAAAAAGCCATCGCAATAACATCCACCATTGCGTTCATAACTTCTCTTTTTCGCTGCTCCTAGAGCATGACCGTGTTACACATGTAGGGGGCATTTCTTGAGTGAGTGATAATATTCAAAAATTTAAAAAGTAAAAGACTGATAGAGAACCTTCGAGTAAAAGGAAATACCCCGCACCCGTGTTTCAACATAATTGCCAAAAATTCTCCAATGTTTTCTTACTTTATTCGCGACCCTTTTTCTGTGTAATTTCTTTGAACAAGACATTTCTATACCACATCACCAAAGGATGAGCGGTAAATTTATTTTGTCAAAACATTTCCAATGGCCAGAAGGGAGCATCCTCTCAAAGCATAAATATTCTTGACTAGCATCAAATTCTAAGTCGAGCTACACATGTCCGTCCGTCATTTTGTCTGTCTGTGTAATGTCTTTTGCAAACGTTTTTCTGGCCGCAAAAACAAAGCTTTCGACTTCAAATTTTACGGAGGCATTGGAAGTTCTTACATGCAGTTTTGAAGATAGGCCAACTCCGGTGGAAAGAGACGTCTACGGTAACGCAACGTAAAGTGAAAACACCTCTGTTTTTCAAAAGAAATAAAAAATTAGGCTTTTACTCATTGCTCATAAGCTACAGCAGATAAATCTACAAAAATTTGAAAGTATATTCTATGGGCGATGCTGCAGTATAGTACTAAAAAGGCTGAAATTGAGCGCGTCAATACCTTTATAACGCGCAAGAAAAAGCTTCAAAAACTCCACGAGATATATAAATTCTTGGGCAGTTTTAAATTTGGAGCGCGGTTAAGCATGTCCTCGTCTGTCGGTCTGCATAACTGTGCAATATCTGTGCTCAACATTCTCCCGTTGCCAAATATGAAGATATCGCCTACAAGTCGGCATTTTTGCATTAGGAATTACGAAAATTTGATGCAACAACCTTAGGTTATAAGATTGTTCTTATAGTCGCTATCTTATCGTCTCATTTAAGCAATCCTACTTAAAGAAATTCCTTCATTCTCTTGAACTGATAAAAAAGCTTCAATCAAGTTTTGATTGTTGTAAGCCTTTAAACAAGGTTTATTTTATTTAGGCAACAAGAAGAGAATGAAGTAAAGCAGAATGCAATCCCTACGGAGTAATTCTTATTACACAAAAACTTGATGGATTAATGGTACGCTTTAAATAATTGAGCAATGGGAAACATGAATACTGCGCGCAAATACACATGGATTCCTCGCAAGTACACACTAACAAAATATTCAATGCACTCGCACATACAACAAAAGGCAAAAGTTTCTCTTGAAAAAGCAAAAGAAAGGAAAAGAAACGAAGAAGTAAACGCAACAACCAAACATTGTCTGATTTATAGGTTGCGTTATCTTTGTTGACATATATCTTGTATACATACACACTTATTCGTACATATGTATAGATACGTATATCGCGTACCGTCTGTATTGTTGCGGCTACTAGGCCCGGCAAAACAAAGGCATTACACTTTATTACTGGTTTGCCAAAGCGTAATGTATATAAAATAAACAATTTTAGCACTTGTTCTTCATTATGTGCCTAGATACGAGCGTACGCCTGCTTAGCGATATGTTGAAATTTTCATTGCAGACTTGACTGAGTGTGTACGAGAATGAATCTTAGGACTAGGTCTTGCATTTTCGTCAATTAAAAGATTCCTTAACATTACTTCTCTGATGCTTTAAAATAAAAAAAGATTTCACAATTATTTCCTTTTTTTTTGTTCTGTATATAAACGATTGTTGGTTATAAGAAAATTTCGCAGATGGACGCATTTCGTTGCAGAATTCGTTAGTTATACTCGCGTCATATTCTGGTTATCTATAAATAGAGTATTAGATCTGGTTTTTTTTTGCTTTGATGAGATTCAAGTTATTATGCCTTTTTTTCATTTTTAATGAGAATATATTATCACCTAGATTTGGGTGGCATCGAAAAAAATCCGTTTAAGATATCTAAGATATTTGGTTGGTATACGTTCACCAATTCGTACTTAGATCATTCCCTTTCTTTGCTTAAGTTTTCTTCTCTACTTACTACTACACTATTTCAGACTATCTTAAACTTTTGGGATTTTGGAATTGAAATAAAAAAGTAGTTGCTGTTAGTTTTAAAAGATAAATTTTTTTAGAAATCAGTGCAAATTGTATCGTAGCACGAGGTGAAAAATTTGACATTGTCGGTCTTCACCAATGGGTTGTGCTTCAGTTTCAGCTAATCCAAATGCATATTTATTTCAAGCCGGTGACTTATATCAGCGTTTGAGACTGTTATAGCTTGGAGTAATTGTGTCACTCAGCCAGTGTCAACGCAGAATGTTTTGGTATCTATTTTAATAATGCTCTCTTGTAATAAAATTGTATGCTTTTCACATTGCTGAGCTATAACAGATCTGTGATGCCGTCAGACATGAAATGAAAATTTCAGTGAGTATTTCCTACGCCAAGGGATCGAGAAAAATACCTGAATCCATTTTCATGCTTTGGTTTGTGAGCTGAAACTGTTCACATCAATCAGGAATTCCAAGTAAGTTTGACTCATACTACCGTTTACATTTTTTAGCGAGGTCTCCGCACGTGATCACTGTAACGCATTTTAAGTGCTGCGGATGTGGATATTTCGCAAAAGTTATCGGAATTTCATATTCGAAGTAATGGTACAAGTTTACGCAACGAAAAATTCCACTTCCTTTGCTAAAACACACACCTTGCTGACACTTTCGCGGGAACTTTAACCTTTATCTTATTATTATTAATATTATTAATTTAGCCATAGAAATCAATTCTAAATACTATCAGCTTTACGAAAAATTCTGCCACACTTGAGATTTGACGCCACGACCATTGCGTTATTATAAAACAATTAATTAAATTAACAAATTAAAAAATGTTTTCAAGAAAATCATACGGTATGATCAAACAATGTAAGGAAGTATGTGGATTAGCTTTAACAAACTACTTTTTTTAGTTCTACTGATGAACGGTATAATCTATAGCAGTGAAGGTGTATGTCTTTACGGACAACTGTGCTTCACTCGGTTCTGCAACAGTGTATGGTATTTCGTTTCA